TAACTTTCATACTCAGATTGGAGAGTTTGGCTGTTGAATTCTATTGTCTCTCTATTGGGAGAAATTAAGAAGATAAGAGAGAATGGCTGAGAGTGCAATAGCTTTTCAGCAAAATTCTTAATTGTATATGAATACCAATTTTTTTTTTTTTTTTCTTTTTTTGTTCTTTCACAAAATTCATGTTCTTAGTAATTTTATTATTAAAACATTTAGGACTTTTATTTATCAACGAGGTGAAATTAAAAATTCAAAGAAATTTCAAATTAGTTTTTAAAAATCACAATATATATATATATATATATATATCCACCTACACAAGGTGGTCCCAATCCGCTTATTTCCACCTACACAAGTTCGTCCCATCCATTTATTTCCACCTACACAAGTTGGTCCCCATCCATTTATTTCCACTGGCATAAGTTGATGATATAATTCAAAACACTGAATTTTTTTTTTTTTGATAATGGCACATACTTGTCTCTGGAGATAAGAGGCTGATACCGGTAAGTCACTGACCCATTAATTATGTGATTGGCCTTAGCATTTGATTAGAGGTTTGATTTCAAACCTATCATCATGTCGCCTTGATAGTGTTGTGCATGTTTGGTAATTCAGTAGGGTGTTATGTTTTGTTTGGATGGTATTTGGTTGTCGTAAAATATTTACGAATAAAAAAATATTAAAATTTAATTAAAAAAATATTAAAATTAAACTTTGACGCAAAATATAAAAATATATATATAAAAGAAAAATAAATATTTTACGTTGGAACTCAAGATGAAAAACAGTTGTTCTATGGGTGTTCTGCCGACACTCGCCGAGTACTCAGCAATTCCAATCTCTTAGTCCTAAGCAATGTTAAGCTATAGTGGCCCACTGTTTGTTTTTTGTGGTTCACGTGCTACTTCAATCTGCTTGTATAATTTTTTTATTGAAAAAAAACAAACAATATTTACATCATTATTATTCTCTTTGGAGAACTCGAACTCTAGTCAATCATTTTAGGAGGTAGAGGAATATTTTCTCACAACCACCTATTTAGACAAATTTAATGCTTATCAAGAAATTAAAACCATGAAATTAGTCCCACTACTCTAAAACAATTGTCCAAACAATGTCTTGTCAAGATTGTCCAAAATTTATGTTAATTGAGTTATAGAAGGGCTCATTTTGTAATTACCACTACTACACTTCATCATTTAATTAAATACATGTCACCCCGGCGGCGGCGACCTTTTCCTATATATAGGATCTTTATATTGCATCTCTATACTATCTCTCTTAGTTCAAACACATCCTCGCTTTTTCTTTCACAAAGCTGTCTTTTATCATTGTTTGGCTCCCCACTGTCTTTCACACTCGGTGCCCTTTCCGCTTTTTATTCCAAACAAAGTTTTTCCACACAATTGACAAATTTTCTGAAATTTTACTTACTAAAATTCATACTAAGATTGGGGACTCTTATAATCGATCTACTATTGTTCATCCTCTTGCTTTTTATTTCACAAAGCTGTCTTTTGTCATAGCTGTCTTTCAGAGTCGGTGCCCTTTCCACTTCTCATTCCAAACATAGTTTTCCCACACAATTGGGAAATTATCTGAAATTCCTTCTCAATCGATCTTTTGTTCTCTTGATAGAAATCAAGAAGATCAAAGAGAATGGCTGAGATTGCAGTAGAATTTCTACTCAATCACTTGACCAACTTCATTCAACAAGAGTCAAGCCTCTTGGGAGGAATAAGGGAAGAAGCTGAGTCCCTCAGATATGAATTGGAGCACATGAAGGATTTCCTCAAAGAAGCTGATGCAAATGAATTCAATAACTCAGAGCTCCAAGTATGGGTTAAACAAGTACGTGATGTTGCCCATGACATGGAAGATGTTCTTGATGAATTCATGCTCCACATCGCACACTATCATGGGGATGGATTCTATGGTTTTCTTCGTAATATTTGCTCTTTGATTAAGAAATTGATAGCTCGCCATCAAATTGCATCTGAGATAGGCAAAATAAAATCCAGAGTCAACAATATACATCAAAGCTACCGACAAAGACTCAGCATCTCTGAGCATGGACCAAGCTCCACCGTTGACAACAACCCAAGGTATGATCGTCGAGGTGATGCACTTCTAGTGGAAGAGGCTGAGCTTGTTGGCATGGATGGGCCCAAGAAACAGCTGATTGGGTGGCTTCTGGAGGACAGTCCAAGACTCAAAGTTGTTTCGGTGGTAGGGATGGGGGGTATGGGAAAAACCAACCTAGTAAAGAAAGTCTATGATGATATGGAGGTGAAGAATCGTTTCCAATGTCATGCTTGGATCACTGTTTCTCAATCATTTGATCTCAAAGAGCTTCTCAAAGATGTAATGCGAAGACTCTTCGATGAAGCCAAGCAACCTGCCCCTCAAAGATTGGAAACCATGGGCATCAATAACTTGAAAGCGGAAATCAAAGATTTCCTTCGATAGAGAAGGTACGTGCTTGTTTTAGATAATGTATAGCAAATAGATACATGGAATGCTTTTAAATATGCATTCCCTGACAACGATAGTGGCAGCCGAATACTGCTTACGACCCGCATTGTTGATGTAGCTTCTACTAATCACATCTATACTATGGAACCATTGTCCTCGGAAGAGTCTTTGACTCTGTTCTGTAGGAAGACATTCCGAGGCAACCACTGCCCTCAATATTTAGAGAAACTCTCATAAAGTATCTTAGAAAAGTGTGAGGGCTTGCCACTTGCAATTGTGGCAATTAGTGGTGTTTTGGCTATGAAAGACAGAAATACATCCCATGAATGGGAATTGTTTCACCGTAGCCTCGGCGCTCAGTTAGAAGGCCACGGCAAACTTGAGAGTGAAAAAGATACTCTCTCTCAGTTATTATGATTTGCCTTACTATCTAAAAATATGTTTCTTGTACTTGGGTTTATTCCCTGAGGATTACGTGATTGAGCGTATGAGACTGATTCGACTGTGGATCGCAAAAGGATTTGATAAGGATAAAAATAATAGGCAGCTCAAAGTCAAAAGAGAAATAAGATAAGGGTAAGGGATTTATCTTACCCAAAATCTCCATGGAATAATAATACCACATGTAACCAGAGTTACCATTCCTGTAAGAAGGGAACGATATCATCTTGGATCAGGGAGAATCTCGCTTGAAAACTACTACCATTAATGCTTCTATAAAAGAAAGGATCAGTCAACCTAAAAAGGTACGCCATAAATTTCATATTGAATCCTTATCGGATATTTAATCGTCGAGTACTAACTTGATCGTCGGAGTGCACCCGGCCGGCACCACGCCGGTCATCACTTCTCTTGTCTTGCAGGAATTGTCACAGACTCCGGAACGTGTAGATTTTTGGCATCAACAGTTGGCGCCGTCTGTGTGAACGTATATTAGTTCCAACAAATTATGGTTCGTATAAGGGAAATCTACGACAAAACTTAAAAGCAATTCAGTCCCTTTACAATCTGGCTTTCTCTAAAAGAAAGAGAACAGTTCATGGATTGCATGGCCAAAAGTAAGGGTACAATTGCTCAATCCGGTAAAATTGCTAGAAAGTCCCACCCGACCGCTAACAGTTGTTTCATCATCGCTGTTAACCGGGTAAGTTTCATGCATTACGCGTATATCAAAATATATGTGTACACTTCCTCACATGATTTAAAGAGAAACAATTTTTTATGTGTTTCCAATTGTCTGCAAAATATTGTTCATCTACATAATGATGTAGTTCACCTGGGGACCCTCCGATAAAATACTACGCTTTGAGGTATTGTTCACAAAAAAAAAAAAAAAAAAAAAAAAAGTGTGGGTACTGTTCACAGGGTGTAGAAAAAAAAAATTATTTTGTGAGTACTATTCACATGAATAGTACCCGCGGGTACTGTTCACAGGGTGTAGGAAAAAAATTATTTTGTAAGTACTATTCACATTAATAGTACCTGCGGGTACTGTTCGCAGGGTTTAAAAAAAAAAAAAGTTTCTTATTCTAGAGAACAATCATTAGCTCCATTGATGATTTTGGTCCTATGATGCTCAATGATAAGTTTTTGTCTTAATTGTACCTATTCTGATATATATAAATATGTATATATATTATCCGTTCAAAATGGACACCTGTTCTTTTATTTTTGCTTTGCTAACTTTGCAAATAGAAAGAGAACATTAGTGTTCCTTGTACGCGAGAGGCAAGCTTGGGAATGGGGGCAGAAAGTTAACCTCTCTTATTAAAGATACGAGTTCACGAAACTCTGGAAAATCAGTTACTCACAAGGATGAACCTCCCATATTAAAAGGATAAGTTCATGAAGCTCGTAATTGCCATTCCCCGTATTATAAGGGATTCATATAAAAGCGCCCCGTACTATAAGGGCTTGAATTGAATGAAGCTCGTAATTGTTGTTCTCCGTATTAAAAGGGGTCGAAATCAACTTGTAAAATATACTTCCCTTTTTAAAGGGCGAGCTGAGTGAAGCTCGTAAAATATATTTTCCTTTTTAAAGGGCGAGTTGAATGAAACTCATAATTACCATCCCCGTATTATAAGGGATTGATATAAAAGTGCCCCGTACTATAAGGGCCCGAGCTGAATAAAGCTCGTAATTGTTGTCCTCCGTATTAAAAGGGGTTGAAATCAACTTGTAAAATATACTTCCCTTTCTAAAGGGCGAGCTGAGTGAAACTCGTAAAATATATTTTCCTTTTTAAAGGATGAGCTGAGTAAAGCTAGTAAATATACTTCTTTTTTTTTAAAAGGTAAGCTCATTCAGCTTAAAGAAAGCCTACTCCCTCAACTCATGAAGTTCAGACAAATCTTAAGAGATCAACCAAAAAAGGTCGCCTAACAAGGGTTAACTTAAAAAAGAGATTGATTTATGCCAAAGAGACATCACTCAAAAAAACACTTTTGACATTCTCGATACTTGACAAGCAAGCACGAGAATGGGGAGCAACTGATAAGGATAAAAATAATAGGCAGCTCAAAGTCAAAAGAGAAATAAGATAAGGGTAAGGGATTTATCTTACCCAAAATCTCCATGGAATAATAATACCACATGTAACCAGAGTTACCATTCCTGTAAGAAGGGAACGATATCATCTTGGATCAGGGAGAATCTCGCTTGAAAAACTACTACCATTAATGCTTCTATAAAAGAAAGGATCAGTCAACCTAAAAAGGTACACCATAAATTTCATATTGAATCCTTATCGGATATTTAATCGTCGAGTACTAACTTGACCGTCGGAGTGCACCCGGCCGGCACCACGCCGGTCATCACTTCTCTTGTCTTGCAGGAATTGTCACAGACTCCGGAACGTGTAGATTTTTGGCATCAACAGGATTTGTGAAAGATATTTCGGGAATGACAATGGAAGAAGTTGCTGAAGGCTATCTCAACGAGCTTATTAATAGAAGCTTGGTCCAATCAATATACCTTGGGGAACTTGCAGCATACAAATCGTTTTCCTCAACTCCGTTCATTACTCATGTTTGGGTGGAAAAACCTATATCCAAGTCGTTGAATCCTATATTATTCATTGGTGGGGTTACGTTGTTAAAGGTTTTGGATCTGAGGGGTGCTTCTTTGGAGATACTTCTAGATGAAGTTGGCAAACTATTTCATCTCAGGTATTTAAGCTTGAGGAAAACAAGGGTTATAACACTTCCGAAATCCATAGGTAAACTTGAAAACCTTGAAACTTTGGATCTCAAAAACATCTATGTAACTGAGTTGCCTGTTCAGACCTTAAAGCTCCAGCGTCTTCGTCATCTCTTGGTGTACCGTGACTTTAAAGCAATAGTGGGAATAGAAGGTTTGTCTTCCTTACAAAAACTGTGTTATATTGAAGCCAACCGTGAGAATGGTAGAATTGTAATGGGAGAGCTAGGGAGACTGACCCAGCTGAGGAGATTGGGGATTAGGGAGTTGAGAAGGGAGGATGGGAAGGATTTGTGCTCCTTTTTTGAAAAGCTGAGTAACCTTCAATCATTGAACGTTTTTTCTGTAAAAGAGGAGCAGATTGTTGATTTTTTAACACTTGTCCTCTCCTCCTGGGTCTCTTCAACGGCTCTATTTGTGGGGACGTTTAGAAAATTTGCCGCATTGGATAACTTCTCTTCATAACCTGGTGAGATTGCGGCTTGCGTACAGCAAGTTAAGGGATGATCCATTGCAATCCCTTCAAGAAATTGCGTATAGCAACTTCTCTATTTCTGATAGAAATTTTACTTTTTGAGGCTTACCAAGGGGAGGAATTGTTTATCGAAGCGACAGGGTTTCAGAAGCTTAAGATATTAAAGCTTTACCACTTAGAAGGATTGAGGAGGGTGAGAATGGAGAAGGGATCATTGCCTCATCTTGAAAAGCTGATTATTTGGAACTGTAAGTTGGTGGAAGAGGTACCCACACCCACTGGCATTCAACAAATATTTATCAGATAAATTGAAAATGACACTGGATCGAGACAAACAGGGTGGGGATTATTGGAAAATAGCACACATCCTCAACATTCATATATCTTGAACTTTCCTGGATAGTCGTTGGGAAGGAGATTCTGTAGAGAGAGAGATGGAGAAGAGTCCTTGCAAAGTTGAGATCATTAGTATTGATCAGGTCACCTAATATTTGCTTTTATTTTATTTTTATAGGATAACTGATTTGTTTTTTCTTTGTTTTTTCTTTTTTCTTTTTTTAATATATTATGTTATTTTATTTTTATAGGATAACTGATTCGGAGTATTCCTGGAAGGCAGTTGGGAAGGAAATTATATAGAGAGAGAAATGGAGAAGAGTCCTTGCAAACTTCTTGTTGAGATCATCACTATCTAATGTTTTTATTTTATTTTTATGATTAAGTTGTTGTATATTGTGTTACATTATACAATTTATTATGTTTGGAGGAGAGTAGTACAAGCAACAGCATTTCATTTATTGTGTTTTTGGAAAATGCAAAGTTGTTGTTGAGATCATCACCTACTGTTCTGAGTTTATATTTATTCATTGTTAATTTTTATGTAATGCATTTCATTTTATAGAGACAATGTATAAAAAAAGTCAAATTCAAGAACTTGGACTCCAACAATACTAATAAGGTTGTCCAATTGTGTAATCTGGATAAATAAAATGTTGAACAATTTAATAGAAGGTTGCAGTTTTTGTCTTTGATGTTTGCTATTTAAGGTAAGGTAGTGTTTCGAGGAGCCCTTCAAGGAGGCACTTTGTTACCGAACAAGCAACGTTGGAGTAAAACGAAAAAAAAAAAAAAACACGTTCGAACATTGGAGTACATGGAGCGATTGAATAGTCAAGTTTAAAAACTACTGAAAATTAATTCAAAATTCAAACAATCCAATTCGGGTGGAGTTCACAAGACCCTTAAGATATTATGAAAAGTTTGAGACAAATTCTACAATTTTTGCCAATTTATGAGATTACAACTGTTTTTAAACTCGAAATTAAGTCATTTAAACCCATGATTGATGATATGACAACTTTTTAACGAATGATATGACAACTTAACTTTGTGTATTTTGAATCGATTTTGTCAAGTGAATACATGGTAGGTTTGAGAGAAAAAATAATTTATGATAAAATTTGAACCCTAACATAACACTTTGATAAATGTTTTAAGGGGTTAACTCATTTTCTTCAATAAAAACCTAAATTTCTCAATCAATTTTTATGTGTGAGTAATTAAATAAATACATAATCCACTTAAAGTTTTTTAAAACTATATTTTGAGTCCTCTTTCTTTTGAATAAGAATCCTAATTTCCTCAACAATCTACATGTGTGAATAATTTGATAAATTGATCAATAATCTTCATGTTTATTATAATTATAATGTCGAGAGTGTATAAGAGTGTGTATATATATGTGTGTGTGTATGCATAAGAGTGTGTATATATATGTGTGTGTGCGCATAAGAGTAGAGAAAAGAAAATTAAAGAGAGAAACTTAATTTAATGTTCGTTCTCACTTGTTGTAATACTCCTAATTTTAAAAGGATAGTTCTGGAATTTAATTTACTTATTTATGTGCATTTTTAATAAATTAATTGTTTAATTGCTTGTATTACTGGATTTTATTGATTATATGCTTGTTTGTCTTTTTATTTGAATTAATTGTTGATTTATGTATTTAATTGTGTTTTTATTGTAATTAATTGTTTTCTTTTATTATTATTGTTTTTAGTTGAATTATTTTTAATTGGGTTAAGTTAAATGCTTTATGTATATGATTAGATTTTTCTTTTATTATATTTTTTAGAAGTCACGTATGTGTAGCCGATGTAGGTTATAACTTAGGTTGTTCATGGGCCGACTAAGATTGGTATTAGGGGCTCTGGCTCTAATTATACAAGGATTAGGGTTGTAGTGTTAAGCCTATAAATATAAATCTCACGTTGGGTTTAGGGTTTTGGGAATATACACAAAACTCTTCTCACGTACCTAAGAGATAGAGAGGAAACACAGTGAACAACAGAGAGAGAATTTGGGAGAAACAGAGAGTGAACCTTGAGAGGTTTACAGATCGAGAGGTTTAAGGAGGAAGGAGTGGAGTGCTTCTGGGTTGAACCAAGAGCACCGGAGGTGTTGAACGGCAGCCTAGGATTATGACGGAAAACTTAGAGACGGAGGTTTAAGATTTCTGGACTGAAATCTAAAGCAAGTCTATGTTCTACTCTTTCCCTTTAATCTGTATTCTGTGTATGCCTAGCTAGACTCCAGGGGTTTAACTAATGATAAAACGAAATAGTCATGCATGCTTAATTGGATTAAAATAGAGAGTTTCATGATTTTATATGCTTCTTCAAAATTTCTTTATTTCTGTGATCTTTATGCATGAACTGTTGTTTAAATTGAATCTTTGCCTACTAAAACACTTAAAATAATTTAGTATGGACGTATGGGACTTAGGTTAAAGCTTAGGGGCCTTAACAATGAAGTTTTAGGATTTACAGAGGCTGAACGGACGAAGAAGAAGACCCCAGCCGACTCAATTGGAAACTGAACCGATTGAGTTATCAACTCAGCCGACTGAGTTAGCAACTCAGCCGACTAAGTTCCTAACTTAGCCTGCTCAGTTGTAACTTAGCTTGCTCAGTTGGGATTTTTGGTTTTAAACGCCCAGTTTGGTTTTTTGTGCACTGTTTGGACTATACAGAGTGTTAGCACTTCATTTAAATTGTTTTAAATGATGTATATGATTGTTTTAGACCTATAAGAATATAGGTAAACAATGATTCATAAATGGATTAAGGTATGGACAGTGTACAGTTAGGAGAAGATCCTACATGTTGAACTTTGAATGTTAATCAGCTTACAATTTGGAACTTGGAGGATTATTTATATATGATTTAATTTTAATTAATCATATTTAGATAGGATTATAAGTAACATGGATTACTTGAATTTAACCATGCTTGTGTTGGATATTAATTTTCACTTTGTTATTCAACTGCATCAGTTTATGGATATTTTGGAGGATGTGAACGCTTATACTTGTTTTAGCTATTTACATTATTGGAATTGGATTTTTAGGCTCTATAATGACTGCCTAGTATTGATATACATGTGTTAATTTATATTGATGCATGTTTTGAAGGATGGTTGTTGGATATATAGTGTCGTTTTATTAACTATGCTATATGAATGATTGTATGCACCGATATGGGACGGTGATATATTAGGTATGGACTAGTTCAAACACTATGTTCTACCTAACTTGGATTGAGTTATGGACTAACCATAAAGGTTAAGTACATCTCATATTTGAGTCATATCAATTGAGAATTGAATGACCTACCTTGGTTTCAGAATAGATTTGTTATACATATATCAGACCACAAAACAGATGGATAATATTTTGTATTAGGAGTACGGAATTTATATATTTATTATATGGTACCATGGTATGAGCATGAGTCTCAGAACCATGGTTAGGGCGCGTATATTGCCTAGGATGGATAACTGGAAATATGTGTTGTTTCCTGGTAGGTTTAGGTACTCATGCTCACATTTGGGTGCGTTTTCCCATGTTGCCTTCTATTTAGGCTGAGACAGACCTATTGGACTAGCGAACGTCCTATAGTGTGTACTATATATACATATATGGACTACTCTAGATATTGTTGAGCTATCTAAGATGTATCTGCGTATCGGATTACTGTTTGGATCGTAGTTGGACAGGACTTGCATGTGGGCCTGACCCACTCTTTAATTTTTAGGTGTTCATCAGTTCCAGGATTAGAGCTTGGATGTGCAGAGCAGATACAGATACTCATTCCTCCGATTACGTAGGACTACTTGCTATGTTTAGCATTAGACTTATTTCAGTTGTTTCAGTTTCAGTTTGGGATTTTAATAAGGGGTCCACTGGATGGATTCCCTAGTTGTACTCTTGGAGTGTTGGAGAGTTGGTTTCTTGTTATTAAGATTTGAGGATTTTATTGTCTAGTATTCTTTCAACTTTTAATTTTTATTTCTTTAATTCAAATTTGTATTCTGTGTTCGTTAACATATTAATTGTCTGATATCCCTCGGGTTTGGGTCTGGGCCTAATCAACCAGTGTCTCGGATCCGAGGGGTATCACAATTGTCCTTCAACGAATAATTCATACAAATGCGTATATACATTACTCATCTTTGAACTTATCTGCTTCCTTAATTTAACTCTTAAATACGTTAATATTTCAATAAGAAAGAAAAAATGTAATATCTATTAAAATTAAAGACATATCTGTGATGTTTCTGATTTTTCAGCATTTTCATTTTTCAATAATTCATAGAGACAAGGGTATTTCTGTCTTTTCGCATATTGTGTTCGGGATTGTGGTTGGGTCCATTTGCATTGTGCATTTTAATTTATGTGGGTTAAGTAGTATTTTTCTGTAGTGGTGCACTATATGAGTTGTGTGGTGTAAAAAATGGAAGATTAAAGAAAAAGAGTAAATAAAAAGAAATTTTGGGGCCCACCACTATTTCAAAAGTGGTCTAGAGACCACTATTTTGCTTCACACTTTCTCTCTCCCCGTACATCCCTCTTTTCTCTCAATTTCTCTTCCATTTTTCTTTTCTTATTGAGACAAACTTTGATCCTTGATTTCATCTTCATTACTTGTCGGAATTGGGTGCTGTTTGAGCCAAAACGACGAGCACGACGAGCTCTACGCATCCATACAAACAATTTCAGTTTTAGTGCCCTCTTTGGAGTTCGAATCTAGGGACCCATTGTTGGGTTTTGATACAAACTTGAGGTAGGGGCATCTTAATTCATGTTTTCTTGCTCTTTTGTGAATTATACCTTCCCTGTGTGATAATGTGTTTAATTTAGGAGTTAATTGTATCTATGATTATATTAGTGATGTCTAGAAAATTTCATGATATTGAATGTGACTTGTATTATGTGAAAAGCATGTCTAGATGCTACCTTGTTGTGTTTAATTTGATGATAATCCATTTTGAAATGTTGAACATGATATATGCTTGAGTGATTGTTGTTGTTCTTTAAATGTCTTAATCTTGGAACCATGAAGCATATATATATACAAATGCATCATTGGGTTGCATGAAGTGGGAGGAATTGGTTTTGAAATGAAAAGGGGATTCTTGGGATATGAATGTTTTGGAAATGGTTTTATGCAAACCCGGTCGCTACGGGGTTACCAATGGGCCAAAGGTTAATATAGCCTAGGGGGGATTAGGGAGTCGCCCTAGCGTGGTTGAGCTAGCTGGGCCCCATAATGACACCGCGGGGTTACCAAGGGTCAGGGACACTAGCCAATCCTCCTCTCGTGTCACGGCGGGGTTACCAAAGGGCGGGTTGTTTTAACATTTGGAAAGTGATGGTTTTGAGAATGAAAATGGGGAGTGGCATTAGCATGCATTCGCATTCCACAGCATAATGATCTTTGTATTCTAATTTGGTTGGAATTATGTATTAATTCCCTATGTTGCATGCTCCCTATTTCCCATTAGCCTATACTTTGATTGGATTCATGGGGACACAAGACGCATGTCTTAAATGTCACCTACTGAGCATATAGCGCACCCTACTATATATTATATTTTTTTTTCATGTCTTGGAAAAGAACCGGCGGATGCTAATCCACCTCAAAATTGAAAGTTGTTAGAAGATGATTTTGCTATCTTGTATTTAGCTATTTCATGTGTAATTATAGTTTTGGGAATGTAATTAGGTTTGTGAATGATCTTTGAGAAAATGTAATTAAGTATTACTCACTCAAAATCAGTTTTGTGTATTCTAAGTAACGTGTTATAAATTACGTTACCAACATGGTGGTTGTTATTACAATTTGATGTTGAAGCATATCTTATTTTGTACGTGAATG